GCTTTCCGATAATCACAGTGCTCTAGCAACAAAACAATGCAACACACTTCATAACGCCGCAGTCACACAACGAAAAGTCCCAGCGTTTCACTGGGAAACAGTTCATCATCCACAATACAGCCTGGACTTGGCACCTTTGGACTACCATTTGTTTACACCCCTGAAAGAAGCCTTGCGGAGAGAGAGATTTTCATCCAATAAAGAGGTAGAAGATTGTGTGTGAAATTGGTTCACATCAACTGCCTATTCTTTGCTTTGCCGCCAGGATTAAAAAAACTTTCTAAAACATTGGAAAAAGTGTGTAGAGGTCCTGTGAAATTAAGTATGAAAAAATAATATTTCTGCATTTTTTGAAAGCAATACTTTAATATTGAAATATAACAAAAAAATCTCATTTATATTTGATCCATCCCGTAAAAATATTTCTGAACATGTTGAGTAGTTTTCGGGAAATAGGATGCCTTAATCTTAATATGATACCAATTTCAAATGAAGTTTGCATTGCAAAAAATTATATATTAAAACAAAATCCCATAATGTCCACCCCTACATTAGTGCCTTTTTCTAAATTGCTAAATTTTCTAAATATTTGGCGAAATTGCGAAGCGTTATAGCGCAATTTTACTCTGAAACACCATGTAACAAAAGTTGCTTGCGCAATAACATTGCGACGATCTAGCTTTTTGATCAATTTGAAAGTTGTAAAGTTAAATTAAAACAGCTTATTTATTAATTTTAAAGCATACTTCATTGAGCAGAAGGAAATGAAAGTAGTCGGGTTGTGAAATTGAATAACTTTCGAAAGTAAGAGTATGCTATCCGCTGAAAGTCCCGAGTTCCGACTTATTATCTTAATTATATTTTATGACAATTCCAAGTATGTTTAATATTTTCTACTGAATACTAGATGGCAGCACAATAAAACTTCTTAATAATTTCTTGGCAGGCTTTTTTTCCCTCCATCGTTAAATCGTACAGATATTTCTTGTGCTGCTATCTAATTTTCTTTTACGTAAGCTTTGAAATTTTTAATAACTATTTTAATTGAACAAACCAATATTTCCTAGGGTTAATTTTAATGTATTTAGTTGAGTGAAAATAATACCTGAGCGCATAGTGAACACTAAATCGTCTTTATTTATAGATTTTGTGTTATCTTTTTCTTTTCTACCAACAATAATTTGCTAAATAATGCAAAGTAGAATAAATTATAAAGTAAAAAACTGCTTCCTAGGTTTAATTCCAAATCTTTCTAACTATTAAAGGACAATTAATTTTCTTTTTTTAAAACTCTCATTTTAATTTTTCAGATGTTTTTTAAAAAAAAATTTTGTAATTCATACTTATAGAAAAAAAAAGACAACTATAAGTTTCTTCCCCTTTGAGGAGCTAATTGTTAATATTAAGCGAAAGATTTTATTATTTAAAAGTTTAAAACGAAATGAAAGAATAAAATATAAATATTTTCCAGTTCACAACAGCTGGGATGAGAATTGCAAAATTTTCCCTCACTTAAAGGCATTGTAACGCAGATAACGAGTTTTTCACACTTTTTTTTCTTTTTTTAAAAAAAATCCCCTTTTACGCCAATTTTACGGTTCATTTTAAACAAATGTAAATTTTTTGTTCGTTTGTTTCAGTTGCCTTTAAATATCACTTAAATATTTACGTGAATCAAACAAGGATAACTAAATTTCTCCTATCTGTTATCCAATACAAATATCTATAACAAAACAGAGTTACTTTATACACATATAAAATTGCCTAATTCAAAATTGATGATAACCAGTATCAATAAAAATAAATAAAATTTAATGATATATTTTGTTAAATATTAATTAATAATCACTTATTAATATACATTTATAAAACCACAATTTAATTAAGGAATGTTTAAATAATAAAAGTGTTACGGGTGTGAATTATGGGTGTGGCAGAAGTCAAATTCTTGGCTATAGATGGCGCCGCTGGAAAACAAGAACAATCGAAACCCCTCTGCCTTAATGGCATACGTCAACAACAACAACAAATGAAATTTATATTTGTTTCAGTCAGTGTTTACGCATATTCAGAAATATTTTATACAAGTATATTTATAAGAAAGAAGTTACATTTTTAAAGTGTATAAAATTTCACGAAATTTTTTTTTATTAATCTGTATTCCGCATTACAAACAGAGTTATATACAAATCTGTATAATAAAGCAGTGTTATACTATGATACAGACTTAAAATTATACAACATAAAATTTTTCTTAATCGTAACAAGTAAAAATATAAAATAAGAAAATTCCTTCGAACTATTTGTTATAAACCATTCATAAATATTTATAAAGCTACAATATTTGTTTACATGTCTACTTATTATTAATTTTATGATTTTTTCTTCTTGCATTAAGACAATATAAAATAATATTATGAAGAGTTAAAGATTTTTTATCATAATAAATATTCCCGCATAAGCTGCAAGCATATAGAACTCATAAGATAAGTTCAAAATGTAGAGAATTACACTCAATAAAAACAGATTTTAACCCTTATCCTGTATTGAGTCTGCGGCATGCAGATGTAAAATTAAATCGTCTCCGAATCGGCCACACTCGGCTGACACACCTACATTTGTTATTTGGGGAACCTCTTCCCCAATGTAACACCTGTAAAGTTTTACTCACTATTCATCATACTTTAATCATCTGCTCATGCTTTAACCGTTTTCGTCTAACCTTTTTTGGTAGTTCTATTTTAACTCTTCAGGATTTGTTAGGTGACTCTCATCATCCTAACATTTTTGCGTTTCTACGCGCAATTGGTCTTCTATACTGTATATAACTGTTTTATCCTATTCACAATTTTATCTGATTTTATTCAGCTTTGAATGCAACTGTATTATAATGCTTTACTACATTTACATTTTATCTGATTTTACTCACTTTTGAATACCTCTAACCTCTTTCGAATATCTCTTTTGAATAACACAATAAAGTCGCTTTTCCAAAAAAAAAAAAAAAAAAAAAAAAAAAAAAAAAAAAAAAAAAAAAAAAAAAAAATAGACAACAACCATTTTTCAAATTTGGAACCTGTGATAGCCTTGCGGCGATCCCAATTTTTTGTGTTATTTGTAGTGAATTTGTAGTTGTTCTCTGTTTTAGTGAATTGTTGTTGTCTGTTTAATGCTAGTTTGTAGTGAATTTGTTGTTGTCTGCGTTATTTATAGTGAATCGTATTTATATTTATTTTAATTTGTCTGGCTCATAACAGCCTTTTTTATGTTTTATGAGTTCTATTCGCTTGCAGCTTATGCGCGGTTAATAAAGTTATCTATATATGTATAAGTACAATAAAGACAAAAAGGATGAAAAGAAAAAAAGAGAAAAACGAAGAAAATTAATAAGTTCTATTTACTGCGCATAAGCGTTGCAAGTTTATAGAACTCATAAAGTAAGTTAAAAATTTAGAGAAAACATGGAAAATAATAAAGATTAATGAAAGGAGAATAGGAAAAATTATTCAAATAAAATAGTAATAAAATAACGGGAATAATTATAATACTTCTGCTGACTGCTATGCTGAAATAGTCCGAGCTCATACTAATCGTAGTTTGTGTGATTTAATGCCTATCAATTACCTTGCATTCAATGCATAAAGAACTAGCAAAATATCGCGCTCATCTCTTGAAAACAGTTAAAATTGAAATCGAAGTACTTCCGCGTAGACAAAAGCAAGGGTAACAGCTAGACGATGAAAAAAAAGCGGGATAATAACATATTGTTTAAAACTAATGTGTTAGAATTGGAGGAGGGGTTGTAGAATTAGAATATTTAAATACAGTTGTTCTTTGCATTCGGCTTGGTTACCATAAAAATGTATATCTTGTGCAAGATAGTTTTGAAAGGTAACCGAGAAAATCGCCAAATATTCCTTAAAGCGATTTCTTTCTACCATTAGTTACGGACAAGCGAAAGTTTTATTTGGTCGTCATGACACTTTTCAACTTTGTTCAATAGTAATAGTAAACAGCGCGCATGCTTTGCTATGGCGACCGCTGCTGTTTGATAATTTTTTTAGAATTTTTTTTCTCCCCTTTGATTTCGATATGCATTAATTTGGTGAGTCTATTATATTCTTTTTATTATTAACCTATAATTACTGTCTTGACGGTGATTTCAATATAAATATGAATACTGAAGAATATAAATATGAATATGAAAAGCATTTTCTGACGTCTTGAAACACGTATCCAGAAATTGCAAATCAATCCGAGGACAAATATCAGTTGAGGCAGTTTTTTTGCAACCCATGATTTGAAATGTTGTGGCTTTTAACTGATTCAATCCAGAAAGAAAAAGTATTTGACCTATGGGTCACCAGGGATTGTGATGAGGCGATCACAACTCTTTTGTATTTTGCTTTTTTACAATATTAATATTTTACAATTGGGTATAATATGAAAAAAACACAACTACTTCGATTTAGTAGGAACAACATATGACGCAATGCTAAACGAATGGAATTTAGTTGTTGTTTATTTAGTTATTGTTATTAGNGAAAAAGCATTTGACCAATGGATCACCAGTGATCGTGATGAGTCGATCACAACTCTTTTGTATTTTGTTTTTTTTTACGATATTAATATTTTACAATTGAACAAAAAAAAATTTGTAAAACCAAGTGCTCATTATTTATACCAAATGTATATTAAAATATATACCAAATGCGAGTTTGTTTTTATTCTACCTTTCACTCATTTTTAAGCATGATTATTTTTTTCGGAATAAATTGCTATTGCTCCCCCCTCCCTACAATACTACAATAATTTGTTCCGCCACTTTCATTTCTTATTCTCGTATAAGAGCACAATCGTTTGACTGAAAAGAAAGAAATTATTGTTATTTGTTTGTGACAAATGGCAACAGTTTCTTCTATCAGGGACATTTGTCCGTGATAAAGAAATTTAACAAAAGATCATTTGGAATGTAAAATTAGCGTCGTGTAGAAAGAAAAAAAAATGGTCATTCCAGGAACGGTAGGTAAAGATTAAAATAATAAGTGGCCGTGAAGGCTATCACATTACTCAAATAAATGTAAAAAGAATAATTCGGTGAATGAGAAAACGTTTTACAAAGCAGCCAAGCAAGTTTCGAGATGGATAAGCCATGACCCAATCAGGGCGCAAAAAAACGCGCCAAGGTTCGTTACGTTTCGTATTTCTTTTTATTTTATTGTAAAAAGGCGACGCAACTTTTCCGTCAGTCTTCCAAACGATACAATTTCACTCAAAACATTCGACGATTTAACTTCATTGTGAAACGAATATGAAAATGGTTCATTCGAACTTCCTGTTCCTGCTCCTCCTACCTCTCTGTTTCGCTCGAAAGATAGATTTTGAAGAGTGCGGTGAGTTCATAATTTTTAATCTTTTTATTTATTTTTTCCATGCAGAGGGGCACTGAAAAACGGGTAATTTGCTAATAACGTTATTTGTCCAAAACAACATAGGAAGAAAAAAAACATTTTTTATTGATGATAGTTCCTGTATACAGCGTTATTTATATTTTTACAAAAAAAATTGTTGCATACTTTCTCTTTAATACCACGAGAAAAACTTTTTATGGCGAATTCTGTCTCACCTCCAATAATTTTAAAGTTTAGGAAAAACTGTGTTTAGGTAAACGTAGAGAGCAGAGAAGGTGGACTAATGTGCTACTATGTAGCACGCGAGAAGTACATAATTAATTTTTTGTATTCATTTATACAACAACATTTTAAAACAACACTTTACATTTAAACAGCACTTTAAAAAAAGTGACGGCCATCATCTGCAGATTAAGAATAAGTACGAGTTAGGGCATTTTGACATAGTTCAGATTTTTTGGTTGACTATGTAGTGTGCCCTCAACTTTGAAAATGTTGACTACGTATTCGAATTAATAATTATAAAATATATATTAAAGAAATTGATAAATATATTATTTCAAATCAATACATATGTACGTATATTATTGAAATTGTATAAATTATTGAAAAAAACAAACTAAAAAATAAAATATAATCGCATTAAATAAGCACAATCTGGGGTATAATCATATTCTACCAGAAACATGCTTTTATAAAACTCGACATTCGTTGAATAAAATGTTTTTCATTCAGTAAAATGTTTTATTCAAATTTCTTTACTAAATTGCAAATAAATTATTAGACGACTAAACAAGAAAAATCGTATTTTATAATTTTAAGAGAAATAAAAAGATTAGCAATCGGTTATTAACGAAAAAAATATGAATGCAATTTTGCGCTACCCGCGCGTAGTCAAGTTAATCACATTTTAATATTAATCGCTTCATTTAAATATTTCTTCATTGTCGCCAAATTATTTGTTTAAAAATAATTAATTTTAATTTTTCTCAGCTTCTACGAAATAAAAACAGTTGAAAACTTAGATTTTTCAATTGAAAAATATGTAGATTAATATGATATATAAAAAATTCATACCTTGTAATTCAGCATCTTTTCATCCTGAATTTAATTAAATAATCAAAAATAATTATTAAAAATTATTTTTTGCATTAAATTATTTTTGGATAAATGAGTTTTATGAGTGGGTGCAATTTTTTTGAATTGCTTCATTAGTNATGATATATAAAAAATATATAAAAAATATGATATATATAAAATATAAATAATATGATATATTGTAATTCAGCATTTTTTCATCCTGAATTTAATTAAATAATCAAAAATAATTATTAAAAATTATTTTTTGCATTAAATTATTTTTGGATAAATGAGTTTTATGAGTGGGTGCAATTTTTTTGAATTGCTTAATTAGTTTTTAAAACATGATTAAAAACGCAGAAAAATGAAATTAACATTAAAGGGTCCATACTTTAAATCGCTCTCCTGGCCAAACTATGGGGACAACATTTCCCAGATTGTGGCTACCCCCCCATATATTGAGGATTAAGAATCCAAATATGAAAAAAAAAAATTTTTATTCAGAGAAAGTACATTTTTGTGTCCGATTTCGTTACTTAATTAATAATTAGCACTAAACAATTAGCGTATTTGAGGTCACCCCCCGAAATCATTAAGATTGGCACTTAGTACGTGAAAATCCGATCATTAGAACGAAAGTCATTCAGGGTGATATCTTTCTTTTCTCGACTGTGCATAAATCGTAAAGAGAGAACTCGAGCTAAATTGCGAATCATAAAAAATAAAAAATGCCGCAATAAATTTTCACAATGTTTGAGTTCTCACACGCTTGTGAACAGGTATTTATAATGAATTGAAAAAAAAAAGATCTGCCTTGTTATAAACTAAAATGTGAAACTTGTATCTTATTAAAATCAAGTTATATGACTTAGAAATAAATAGCATGGCTGATGAAGTTCAGCAATAGATGTCGCACTAAATAAGATTAAATGTACGTTGTTTTTTAATGTAATATTATGTTAAAATATGCAAAATGTTAAATAAATGTATTTTAAAAAGTAAGGCGCATATTTGGTGAAGCATTTTCATTAAGGCGAATAACTTATTTTAAATAGTGTTCATTTATATAGTTTTTTCTACTATAAAAATTAAAAACATCTGACACATTAATCGCCTTTATTTTATTTTATTAATTATAAAAGACATCCATTTTAAGATCTTTTACCTTATCTTATTAAAGTCAAATATTTTTAAAATACTGATTACATTCAATTTACATTTTAAGCAAGTTGAAGAGCCAACATAGTTGCATAATGTAATTCAATAGCTTGAAATAAAACTTGTGGTCTAAAGTGTCACTTAATAACTCCACCGCACTATTTTCATTTCTTTTAATTGCTTATGCATACTTATTGCATGGTGGCCAATTCATTGCAAATCAACTTCATTACATCTGAAATTAAATCTATCAATGAGTATAACATTTGGCACCTCTTTAAATATTGTGCAATAAAAAGTCATTCGCTAAAACTAAGGCTATCAACTGTCTGTCCAATTCAGGGGCTCTAGCTGAGACGGGGAATGTTGGGAAATATGTGTTTATTAGACTAACATTAATTATTATTCATTTTGCTTGCTTTTTTCATGGGTAACAATAAATTAAATAATTGATAACACGCATCCTCTCTATTAAATAATATCCAGACGATTAAACAATTAGACGCATCCAAACTAGCCCCATGACATGAACCTATGTGGATGCAAAAACAACTACAGCCGGACCCCATTTTAACGAACCTCTGTATACAGAATTATGCGATTTAGCGAATTTTATGAAGTTAATGAAGTAGATTTATAGGAACCAATGAATAGCGAATGAGAAGTGGATGATGATGGTTCTTAAGTGAAAACTTACTTTTTCTGATGCTTTGAAGAGTTTGGAAACAGTGAAGACTTACCTAATGCAGCAAGATGTAAATTTCTTCTCTTCATGACGTGAAAAGAAAGAACTTTTTAAAGTAAGAAATCAAGGAAATAAGCAACTCGGGAAAGGGTTTAAAATTTCAAATTAATCAGCGCGAAATCATTCGCTGTATTTTAAATTCCTGAATGAAAAGTGTAAGATTTCTATTTATTTTGTGTATAGGAGAGGTTTGAATACTTCATAGGGTGTCATTTTTTTTATATGTTACCCTCGATATTACGAATAATCCCCGATTTACCGAATAATATTTTCGGTTCCTATGAATTCGTTTAATTGGGGTCCACCGGTATTTATTATTTTTTAAAAAAAAAGAAGATTACTATAAAAGTATGCTTACAAAATAACTTAAGTATGCTTCAAAATTAAGATAAAATTTTCGAACTTTAATTATATATATATGTTCAAAACAATAATTAGAAAACCTTTTTTGGCAAATTTATGAGAACTGACTACACTAGCCCCCCCCCCCGTCTGCTTTATAAGGGTATTTTCCAAACACCTGAATACTTAGTGTTGCTTCTGAACATCAAAAGTATGATAATTGTACCTTGATTCAGAATTTTTTTTTCTGCATTTTTCACTATAAATTTTATGATTCCTATGAAATTGCTTTGAAACAAAAACGTATCAGAAGATCATGGAAAAAATTGTGTAGAACCTGCAATCAACAAACCTTCATCGGTCAATTGATCATAATATTTATTTAGTAACTCAAAAAGTCAAAATGAGGAAAAAATAAACACGCCACATAACTAAAATTTTCATTTGATGACTCTAAAATATCCAATTTCCTTAAAGACAATAAAGGTGACCTTCAACTTTAAATGCCTCCAAAGATAATATTAAAAATATCCCCAAATGAAATTTATACTCTGTGTTATAATATTTTAATTTATTTGTCTGATATGAAATGGTTTGCTTTTCAAACTAGCGGAACTTGTTTTATACAGAGAGTATAATTGAAGAGTTTCTCATAAAATGTGAAAACAAAGCATTCATTAGAAAAATAATAAGGCATAACTGAAAGAAATTATTATTCTGCATTCTTTATAATTAATTTCCTTCAGTTCGAAAAACATTCAAGGAGACTAAATTATAACCGAATGAATCAAAATTTAACAAGTTTACTTATCAGCATCCATCAAAAATAACCTCCCTGCGGTCCTTATTCTTGCAATAATTGCCGAATTTTCACTCACTCTATAACTCCCTGTCTTACCAAGCATTTTCTGTAGAATAGAAAAACGCAAGTGACACAAAATAATACCCGAATAATGCAAAGATATTGAGGTCGCGACAGGGATGGGTATCAAACCCCACCCAAAATGTCCGTTGATGGTGTTCAACCTGCTAAATCTGCTGCCTTTTAAAACCTCTCGTCTACATACAATACTTTACTCTATGTGAAAGAACTTTTCTTATCAAGAACTTGAATTCTTCCCACAGTTTCTCAGCCCAAAAGGCTTCTGTACCCCCCTCGCGACATTGTTACTACATTACAATTCAATGTATTCAAAGGTATTCCTTATCAAGTTTTCAATATCATTTGTTTGTCGTTAATTGTGTAGATTTAATTGTCAATTATCATATTGTTAATTGTAAAAAAGAATTCTTATATACAATCGGGTACTTGGCACTCCAAGAAGAAGACAATCTATATCCACACATGTGACCTATTACTTCAGCACCAGCTAATCTTTATCACCAAAATGGCGTATTAAAGTTAAGTTTTTCTTCATAGAATGGTAATTAGCGTTAAGTTAATTAAATACAGAACAGTATCGCACATCGAAATTCTTAAAATATAATTCTTTCCTATTTGCTCACGTATTTTAATTGTAATCGTGGTATAATTTTGTTTTGTGTACCTGGCAACTTTGATGCGTAATAAGTATATGTTCGACATGGCTTCGTGTCTGTCTTAGTGTAAATATATAGTGAAAGAATTGAAAACTTTGTAAAAGAATCTTTGAGAAAGAATATAGGCTGTGTTACTTAAGAGAATTGGTACTTAACAGTCCTGGTTTACTCGAAATAGAATGGAAAGAACAGTTGTTGACATAAACAAATACCACGTTTCAACAGCCAATCAGGATCGAGATAACCACAATTACGTCACTTGCAGGTATTCCATTATCGAAATGGGATGCCTGCAAGTGACTGCAGTGTGAGTTAACTTCATATATATCTCCCTATATGTCTCATAAAATAAAGCGACTGTTAATTGTTATATATATTGAAAGACTTCGTCACTAGTACGTTTTATGCGTTGTATTTTTGTTTATTCATTTTTATTTGTCGTCTTTTTTATTTCTATGCTTAAATTAATCTAAATAGCTTTTATGTTTATCATAATAGACCGAGTGAGCAACAATGGCTCAGGGGATCGAACGTTACACCTTCCAATGAGGTGAACTGGGTTTCAATCCTTGTGATGGCTGGTCGATGTGGGTTAGAGTCCCTTTATCGTCCGGCTAACCGTGGTCTTCCTCTCCATGTAACACAGATGTGGGTCAGTTCCTCCAAAAAAAGTTCACGTTGGAAAAATTTCTTCCGATACTTGACCCAGGAGTTCCCTTGTCTTCTGAATTGGGCTAAAAATTATAAAGCTGAGGAGTTGAACATTAGTAGTCGTAAACCGCAAAATTGGGTCGACTGATCAACGACGGCTATAAAATTTAAAATAAAATAAACTAAGCTTTTAGGAGACCGAAGTATTTCTTATCTGTTCCTTTTTCTCGTAAATAAAAATGGTGAAAGAAATGACTGATTCTTTTTCTTCTTTGTCGCAAAGTGTTACCCAAATTGTTTCCATTTTTTCTTAAAACTCAGTCTTTTGACCTTAAAAATACTAGCGGGATGTATCTTTTGAATGAGTTTCTCTGCATCAACAACATTACATTCAAGATTAATTTACGATTTTGGAACTCTTTTTCTTTATTCGAAGGATTCGATGCCGATTTTCCAAAAAACTACACACAGAAAGCAATGACATCGCTTATAATTTTTTTTAAACTTAATTGTCTTAAATCTGTCACATGATTGATTTTTTCAACTTTACGTATTGCCGTTGTACAATCAATATGTCACGTCAATATTAAAGGCGTGCTATATCTCAACCCATTTTGGGGGAAGTCACGTCGTCCATGTCAACCTTCATCCATGAAAAGGTACCTCACCATACAATAGAGTTAACATGTCTTATATACTAGTGAATTGAAATTACATTTTTTGTAGTGGTAGATACACTACAGTACTCCCCCACCAGAATTATATCTGTGATAGAATTCGATGAACGGGCACCTCCATTGCTGTTTTGTGAGAAGCCGGGAGAGCTGTATTAAGATCACCGTGCATTTTGAGTGGGGATCTTGAGAGCTGTATTAAGTTCACGGTCGTGGTCGCTCTTGTGTTGCCATTAGCAGTCGAGTGAATACTTTGTACGTTATGTGTGATTGAAACTGAGTAGCGACAGCAGGAGGAGGTGGATAATGTCGCAGTCACAAGTAGCAAGTCAACTGTTTAATGTGGACCGTCCATCGCAGTAGGCGTGTTCAAATCGTAGTGGGCGTTTCTGCCTAGGTAGGCGTGTTCACATCAAGTCCAAAGGTCACCCATTTGGGGGAAGCCTTATCTATGAAAAGGTAGAATCGAGTTGACTGTAGTGTATCTACCACTACACCAATATTTAAACAGCTCTGTAATTATGTTACTGTGAGGGTGGTTGTTGGCTTCCACCACTGAATGTTCACAGTTACATTGGCATATGTCCGAAACATATACAGTGCCACTGCCATGTATATATTTGTCCGGTATACCCTACACTGATGTTTCTTAAGGTTCAGTGAGAATTACCCAATATGCATTTAACCAGTACTCCGGTGTTTCTCCTAATCTATTCTCAGCAGATATAAATATAATAATATCAACGGATAAATTAATATAAAATATTTCGAACATTCACCTAAGAGACTATGTGATTGTTGACATTCACCGGTGAAAGTCGACATTCCTCTTGATTTCGGTCATTCAATGTAACATGCACTCGAATACTTTGCAATGCATTGTTTGTATTTGCACATTCTTTAAATAGAGAAAAAGGGTTTATGCTCAGATTATTATTTAAATTTCGTTATCCGCACGTATCACAACTAAAATCAGATCTTTTTGCAATTTTTTTTTCGTTCCCGGCCATTTTACTTCAGAAGTGTTTTCAAATCTTGTCCAGTATGCTAGAATAAAAAAATAAAATTATTAGTTATTAAAAAATTATAACAATGATTAATTATAACTATTCGGCAAAATATTTTAATTTTGTTTGGAAATCATGGAAGAAGGTAATTTTTTTTTTTATTTCGTAAATTTTTTTTCTTTAAACATTTATCGTAAATTTTAAAAGAAAAAAAAATACATAAATTTATATTTTTTATTTTATACATTTTCTCCCTACTGGTCCATATTTTGGGAAAGAATCAATAACAAAATTATCGTTATGAAAATCAACTCACTACCAAAATAAAACTTTATTCCCCCCAAAAAGCAGAATGTTGCTGAGTAACTTTTCCTGTATATTATGTATATATCCTGTATCACCATTACTTTTGTTCATTTTGTAGGTGGCACTGTGAAATCAGTTGATGTTGAACCATGTTCTTCCGAGCCTTGTGAAATTCCAAAAGGATCTGCCGCCATTATATCAGTTCATTGTGTTTCAAGTAAGCATATTTCTATTGACGTGTAGCATAGTTTCCTCCTCTTTGTTCGCGTATTTATTGCAAGAATAAACATTTAATTTGCAGCTGACATTTACACATTTTAATGACGTTTTTTTTTCCCCTCCAAATACTATCATTGTCATTCATGTTAATTGATATCAAAAAATAAATACTTTTCCCCGATTCCATTTAGAAACTTTAATCTTTGTCACTTATGTTAAATTTCTATGTTTGTAAAGGATAAATACGATGTTTTTTTTATCAAAGTGTATAATAAACATCCGCTTTTACAACCAGTTGTTAGACCATTTTAATTTCATAAAACTACAATCGCAGTGCGGATAATAAATGTATCAAAGCGGAAAATATATCACCTAAAATAACTTTTATTCTAATAATCGGATTTTCATAAACTAAGTATCAATCATAATAATGATTCGAAGGGGAGAAAATGGAACCTTCCAATGAGGCTAAGTGGGTTCGAATCTTAGCGATGACTGATCGATATGAGTTCCGCACCCGACCTGCACCGACCACAGTGCTGCCATGAAATATCCTCAGTGGTAGACGGTTACAGTCTCCTTGTCGTCAGACTAACCGTGAGAGGTTTTCGTGCATTTCCTCTTCATGTTACGCAAGTGCGGGTTAGTTCCCGCGAAAAGTCCTCCACGAAGGTAAATTACTCCCAATACTTGATTCAGAAGACTCCTTGTCTTCTGGATTGAGTTCAAAATGACAAGGCTGACGGAGTTGAACATGAGTAGTCGTTAACCCAAAAGAATGGGGTCGGTTGCTGAAAGACGGTTATATTTTAGATAATGGTTTTGCAAATGTGTATATATAGTACTGTCTCTACGAAACACCCTGTATTTATTGTCTATGATTTTAACAGTACTCAATTCCTATACTTCATTGTTGTTGCAGATGTGAATAGTGAGAAACTGAGACTGTCTGTATGGGCTGACCTTGCTGGTATTGAATTACCCTATCCAGGAATGAAGAGAGATGCCTGCAAAGGAAAGAACTTGACCTGTCCCATCACACACAACCAAGATTTGCACTACACACAGAAATTCGAAGTCAAAAAATTCTTCCCAAACGTATGTTTTTCCCTTTCTTTCTTACAATAGAGAGATTTAGCACTTCCATATAATATACGTATGTTCTGAGCTAACTGCCATCCCCACAGAAAAGGTTCTTTATACGCTTTTTCACTCAATTCAACACACATATGTTAGCGTGTACATGTGCAGTAACCGAGAGCTGTACCGTTTCATCTAAAGAGATTTGTCACTTTCTCATACCAATTCTATTAAACAATCTCGGCTCTCTTCAGAGCTTGCGCAGGGCATACTTACGTGAACAAGCTGATGAGTGATTTGGGAAAGTGCTATGATAAATATAGTTCGTTCACCAGGAGTTGGCACTTGGCTCCCCCTCCTCGGGCGGATATTTCATTTCAGCGCTGGAGTAAGAGCAGAAACGTCACCGCACTTGAAATTGAGACAACCCTTAATGAGCTCCAAACGAAGACAGCTAATTATTTTTCATTCACTTACTTCGCTTTATCATCTGCTATTATACCTTTCGTTACTCTAGCTTATTAAATATATTGCAGCAAAATGTCTCAAAAAAGACAAACTATTCACTCAAAAGAGAAAAACATTATACAATTTATGAAATATTTAATGTTAAAAAAATTGTACATAAAGATTGCTAAATAAATTGCCGAATAGCAACTTTGTTCAGGATTGTTCACATCCTTCTCTCAAAAATAGCGAAATAGTATCGTCGGATACCACGTGATGAAGGCGGAGCCAAGTGCCAACTCTTGGTGAAGGAACTATAGATTTACCACTTTCTCACACCACCCCGCCTGTTCACCCGTATGGGCAGCGTTGTTCTATCTCGGCTCTCTACAGTGATGGCACAAAACGAGTTGGATGATTCGAGTAAGTGATGCGTCTCTCAGGCAGAAATTTCGTACACAGTATTCAGCATGTTCACGTACGTACAGTCATCAGTTTTCTCATTGTGTTCCGATATATACTAATGGCTCAAAATCTCCTAGCTGTGATGTCATCATTGTTGACGTCGCGTACAGCTACCGAATTCCTGAAATTTGCTCCGTCTTCACTGCTGAAGCTGTTGCTATTTTTGCGATTGTATGACAAAAATATTTATTTAGCTGTTGCTGTTTTGAGCCAAGTAGAAAAGTTTCTCTGTGATACTCATCCAATTTTAACCACGCTTCAAAAGAATGGCTTTGAGATTTTATTTGGCAGGGTACCGAGTCATGTTGTTATTCCAGGGAATGACCTATCAGCTGCACGATCTGCCACATTTGCTTTAACATTTTCCATACCTTTCTCTGATGTAAAACTGCATATTCGGAAATTTGTGACATCATTGTGACAACAACAGCGGGATCTCAAAGTTTTTAACAAATTGCATAGCATTTTAACCGATTCAGGCCATTTGTCAGTACTGTTCTTGCGTAGTGCTGTCTTCAAACTGGTCATACCCGGTTAACCACTTACTGTTTGGAGAGCCTCCTCCTCTATGCAGTGCCTGTAACTCTCGATTCATCACATTTTAATAATATATCCATGTTTTGACCAACTTCGATTAACGGTTTTTGGGAGTTCTATTTTATGCATGCATTATTTGTTAGATGATATTCACCATCCTAATATTTTTGCGTATTTACGTGCTGTTGGTGTTTTTAACTGTATATAAATGTTTTAATGCATCTGCAATTTTATTCACTTTAGAAAACAACTTATTTTATTTACTTCGTGTATTTTATATCGTATTCATCTGATTTCATTCCTACCCTTTTATGTGATTTTATTTCATACCTTTTATCTGATTCTATATACCAACTTATACCATTTTATCAAGAATAATTGTACGACCAATAAAGTGGTGCATGTACTTTGCCTTTGGCGTATTGTTTGGCGCAGCATGTCGTCTTTTGGACTTTGTGCCACTAAACCCTACGTTCAATTCAATTCGAACGTACAATCCCTGGCCAAATTATTTGACCCACTTTAATATTCTATATAAAATCTTAATTATCAGGCAATAGCTTTATTGTTTTTACGAGATTGAAACCGGTTTGCACTTGTTTAGTCACAGTGTCGTTGGATGCAATACGAATCTCTGTAAAGTCACAATTTTGGGGAACAAAATTATGAATAAGACTTACTTCATTTAAAAATTGTTGCCACAATTATTTTAGTTTGTAACTAGACGCTTTAAGCTACCATCTTAGATTTCTTTAAACATGTAGAATTTTAAATTCGATTGATTGACTAACTTTCTGGAGAAAAAAAAATTAGCCTTAATTGAAGCTTAAAAAATAATAGAGAAAAAAAAACTCCATTTCAATCGGTGCAACCGTTTATAAGTTATTAATGGATGTTGAATCCGAAACAATGCGATTTCAAACAATAGGGTTTTGTTTTTTCAACATTGTTCTTATTTTGGTCACATTCAATTATTTAAAATAACATTTTTTTAAAAAAAGAATGCGAATTGGTGCACCTGTTCTCTAACGTCATTAGCGAACAATAACAATACTTAAAATAACTGTTATATTATATTTTCATGTACACAGCCAGAAATTTTAAATATTTCCTCAGTTCCTTATTTGTTGTAACAGAGAATCAAATTCTACACTTCAAATTACCTTTTCGTTAGTTTCGTTGTAATTAATCAGTTAATGACAATTTTCAAGCACTTTTAGTGATATTTAATTTAAAACGCTTAGAAAGATTTTTTTTTTTTTTTTTTTTACGAAACACTGGAAAAATTTACATTCAGTTGTTATTTGTTCTACACTAGAAGGCATTTCGTATTACTGACTACAGTAGGCTTTTACTACAAATTTTACAGTTAATAATTTTCGAACTCTATTTATCAAATATCAATATTTTTTTCATTTCATCGTACTCCCTGTACATTTTTCTATAACCCTTTATAATTTCAAGTTTCTAATACTTATAATGTTTTCACTGCGAAACAAAATAATGCAGAGGGGAAAATATTCATTTTTTCAATAAGCACGTGTATGTTTGAAGAAACAACAATCAGTTTTCCGAATGTTCAAAAGTGTACTTTTCGGTAATTGTTTTTCTTCAGTTCCTATTATTAGTTCACATTCTCCCTATATCTTGTTCAAATTTTGAACCGTTCATAAGATACTTTTTATTCATCCACTCGAGTTCAAATACGTTTTTTCTTTATCCATTGGCAAAATGGGTCTTGGTTTGGGTCTGATGGCGTGCACACACTTTTCAACTGTGTTCAACAGTAAACAGTGCATCGTCATTGCATGCGTTGCTATGACGACCGCTGCTGTTTTTATTTTTGTTTTCACTAGCAGGCATTTTTAATGCATTTACATAATGATAGTTTAAAGTATTTTTATATTATTTTTATTATGAGTATGACTTATAATGAATGGCTTGACTCTGATTTCAATATAAATATGAATGCTAAAGAAGGAAAAGTATTTTGTGAAACACGTATACATTGGCAAGGATATGAAAATCAATCCGACGACAAACATCAATGGAGACAGTTTTTGCAATCCATGATGTTGTGGACTGAGTCAATCCTGAGAAAGAATTTGACCCATGGGTCATCAGTGATCGTAATAAAGATGATCACAACTTTTTTTGTTGATTTTTCTTCTTTTTTTTTTTCTTTTTTTTAAATTTTTCTTCGGATTTCGCTTTGATTTTTTTATTTAAACTTGCAGTGAAGGACACTTGATGTTAATAGAGTTTATTTTAATATTAATTTCTGTTGACCTAAGTAGGAACTGCCTTTATTTTTTATGTTACTTGTTTTTTTTTGTAATGATATGTGATTGTTTGGACAGGTTCAGACAAAAGCCAGGTTCAACCTGAAGACCAACGATGATCAGGATAAGGACATCTGTTGCTTCCGAGCTCCCGTCAAAGTTGTCAACGCTAAAGAATAAAAAAAAAAGCACACAAATTTTGTCATTAAGTTATTATTTCTCCCTGCGACTTCACTGATAATAATTGAGTTCATAATTTGTATTTCTGTAAATATGAGATTAAAATAAATGTTTCACTTCAGTCATGACTCAATAATTTGTATATACTAAACTGATTTCTAATATGTATCCATTAAATTATAATGAATTAAAAATATTTTTTCAGTAAAAAGATTAAGAGAAAAAATTTATCGTTTTTTTCTTCTTGTAGTGTATCTACCACTGCTACATGAGTGACCACGACCGTGAACTTCATATAGCTCTCGCGTTCAGCACTCAAAAGTACGGTGATCTTAATACAGCACTCCCGGCTTCTCACGAAACAGCAATGAATCAACTAGTGGTATTCGCTCATAGAATTCTATCACAGATATAATTCTGATGGGAGTACTGTAGTGTGTCTACCACTACAAAAATATAATTCCAGTCCACTAGTATATAAGACATGTTAACTCGATTCTCTGTTGGGGTAACTTAGGGTTGGGAAGGTTGACATGGTCGAATAATACTATCCCCATACTTTTTATATCTATTTTCCAGGTTATAGGAAAATAAGCGACAAAGATATAAAATATGAAAATGCTTAGTTTAATAATAATAATAAAAAAACTGTCTTGTTATATATTGTTTAAACATATACTGGTTAAGATATATATTTTTAAAATCATTATCAAAAATCAATTAAACAAAAAAATGCCCATTAGGGGTCACAAATTTATATTTAATGGTAGAAAATAATACCACCAAAATCTGTCGAATTACTAGTAAAGAAGATGAGACCAAAAATGAGAAGAAAAAAAATAGTTTAATTACCTGATAAAACTTATTCATTCAAAGACTATAAAATCATTTCAAAAGAATTAATGGCTTGCTTTATAGAAACTTTTTTAACAAAATTTTGGGGAATTTCTCGACCGTAAATTATGTTGAATGAACGAAGAAATTTCGTCTACACTTTCTTAATTTCCCGTGGTTCATACAAACCTTAGAAAACCGGCTTATAAATCGGCCGCTAGGAATGAATTATTTTGTTGTGTATCATTTAAAAGAATCTTTTAAAGACATGTGATAATTTATATGCAATGACAAAAATCTTCTTTAAAGTTTGAAGTGAAAAAGATGAAGAGTAGTTTGTAAGATGGCTATTTTATGTTTTCTAAAAAGAAATATTGCCCATTTTGAAAAGTGAAAAAGGCTTTAAAACTCTTTTTCTATCACATTCTATAATTATTATTTTTGGAATAATTTGCTAGACATCTTCATTCTCATCGTTTGCATTTTAATTTCGACATTACTTAAGATAGATAAACCCACGGAAGTATGTATCTCTTTCATTTTGCTTTAATCTTGTTTAATACCTCCATCTTATATACTTAATTTTTTTGCTGTACTTTAAATACATTAGAGGCTACTATTATGGGAAAGAAAACCAGAGAAAAACTTAAAAATCATTCTAAAAGTACGATATTTAGGCGAATGCTTGACATGTTGGCATTTTAATAAAATGATCGATTTTTTTTTTTTTTTTTGTATAATATGAAAGCAGTTTGGCAGGGTTGATTATCACCCAAAACCGGGAAAAATACGAGAATTTTTTTGAACATTTCGGGATTTGAGGTAGGTAGGTACTTTATTTACGTCGTACTAGAGCTGCACAGTGGGCTATTGGCGACTGTCTGGGAAACATTCCTGTTGATGGTCCGAAGACATGCCATAACAATTTTGATCCTCTGAATCGAACAGTAGTGTGTATCAAACAGAAGCGTTTATAAACGTACGGTAAAAATAAACTTTATAAATCAAGATTAAAAATTTGATACTTTTTAAAAATTCTTACACACATACATAAGCCGGCTTGTATGTTCATTAGAAAGATAGGTTATGTGATATAAAAACTTTGAATGTTGATCCCTTTGTCGTCGAAGTTTTTCTTCGGGGAAGGAATCTGTGCTGGATTTTTACTTCTTTGCTACCCCTTAAGTCCCTTGTAAAACTTCATCAAGCTGAACGGTACTAGAAAATTGAATTGATTTGATTAATTTATTCTCATGTCGGTTTGCATACTCAATAAAATGAAGGGTTATAAATCCTTGTCAAATCGAAGATATAATTGCACGAATTCGGTAAAGGTAGAATCATGGTTAGAACGGAATTCAAATCCCGCTACCTCCACGTTTCAGAGCATTCCTCAGAAAGACAATCCAATTTGACTTAAACGATTTTATAACCGTTGTTGAACAGCCGGCCTGATTTTTTGGGTTTACAACTACTAATGTACAACTCCGTAGCCTTGTGATTTTGAGCCCATCCAGAAGGCAAGGAAACTCCTGGATCATTACCCCTAGAAGTATGATTTGTTATTGGAACATGGAGTACTTTGTGACACGACAGATTTGACGTGCATCAGTCTCAATTTATGACACTGGGAGCATTCGGCCGGTGGGGATCAAACCCACGACCTCTTGGACATGGGCCCAGTGCCTTACCAACCAGGCAATCCCGGCCTGACTAAAACGATCAGAGGAAAGACATAGACGGACTTAATGCGCAGGTAACGTGAAACTGATGTCTACTGATAAGCTGGGTGTCTAATCTCTCGGACAGCTGCAAAGAAGGTTTCAAGTTCATGTCTGAAATCAGTGTAGGACCTCAGTGTTTCAACGGAGTAGAAACAACACTTACTGCATGAATGTAATACTAACTTGAAGTCGAAATCACCATCTTCTTCGCAC